ACTATGTCCACTGCTACCCCTGCATCTAAGGATTTGGTAATCTGGTCATAGAAGGCCACCAGGTTGGTCTGACAGGACCTGCCGCTAATGAACCTGTGTTGGTTGCCCCTAAGCATAATCTCCAGTCAACTGACAGGATTAGTACATGAGGCACCATGAAGGCACTTCAGAACTAAAAAGTTTCAGTGCTTCTCTGAAATATTTCAAGTTTTAATATTTTTACCGAATACTCTGAGTTTTGTGGGGTTATTGTTACATCTTCACCAAAACCCCAGTTTAGGTGGCTTGTCAGTAAAATGCAGTACTGCATACATTGTCAGATGGACTTGGCGCCCTCCTAGCCATTTCCGCAGCACCCCCAGGCATCTTGTGCCTGTCTGTGAATAAAGGTAAGAGGCATCTCCCCCAGGAAACTCATCCCAGACCAGTCTAAGAGAAGGAGAAGGTTTGTTTAAGTGCACGTGCTGCCATTGCATTTTCTAAAAAAACGAAGAAAAAACCACTGTTAGGAGGGGCCCTGCAAACACGCTGTCTGCCTTCAGAGCAGAAAGCAGACACTAAACCTTACATCAGGACACAAAAATGCTGGCAGCACAGGAAACCAGAGCTTGGGATTCATTCATTTAGTGCTGTCCAAGTAGCTTCATTTCCTCAGCCTGCTCATAATGCAGAAGACATCAGGAAAAGGCTGGCAAGAAAAGGATAGGCAGGAATTTTGAAACCTGTGACCAGTACTACCTAACAAGGGTTTTGCACATGGCACCAGCCCCACAGCCTTGATTTAGAGGGAGTACCAGAATGGCCCGCACCATTGCAGCAGCTGCAGCAACCACCATGCAAGCGTTTGGCATTCCTGCTCCCCACCCTGCTACCCATGGTGCTAATTACACCTACACTTGTGGCAGGGAAAAAAGTAGGTACACACATCATGCCCACTATGATGACTTAAATGATTCTGATTAGAAGATTAAAACAACTAAAACAATTAATGACAAACTGAGCCATGAATAGTTTCCAAACTGGCTCACCGCATCTAAAAATGCAAAACGCAACCACCGAGTTGCTAAACAGAAAAGACTAAGCCACCAGTGAAAAGTTGAAGTGATTTTCAGCAACAATGACCCACTTTTTTCAGGGCTGCATTTTTATAACATACAGAGCAAAGGAGAGAGAACCAGAAAACCTCACATTCGAGGCACCACGGTGATCCAGCAATACCATCTAACCTTCACCCCAACCTAGTAGAAGCCCAAGCTTTCTGTGTGCTCAAGAGGGCTTGATGTTTTGCTCTTGAGGCCAACTAAGCTGTGCAGCAAAGCATGATAAACAGGTCTAATTCTTCCCAGTTCCAATAACCTGCAACTCAGGCAAAATCCCTGTCTCATAATGACAACAACACTTCAAAGAGCTGTAAATCATCCCAGCTGCTCTGGAAGCCAGACTCAGCATGGGGGCTACTTTCTTTTACACACTGGAATCCCTGTTCAGAAGCCTTTTGTCCCTAATAGTGCTCTGCTCTCAGACACTTCCTCACTTTCTCCTCCTCCTCTGCTGTAGTCCTCCTAAGAACCAATTTCAAGGGGGACTTCTCTGCTCAAGCATGGTGAGTCCAT